CCTACACACACACACACAGGTGTCAGTCAGACTCAGGAGCTCTTCCTCATCCCAAGTCTCCCTCTTCCCTCTGTGGGGCCCCTTCCCCTATGTCCCCAAAGACACAGGGTCTTCCTTTAAAATGCCCTGGGCAGACTTGACTCAACTCAGAGCTTTGTCACCTGAGCTGGGCTCTCCTGCACTCACAGATTCGAGGTTACTCCCTGCCCAGAGCCGTGTTCTGGGACCCATAAGTCCAAGACACCGTGGCTGGGATCACACCAACAGAAGCGGATGGAAGCGGCCAAAGCCAGCCCCAAGCCTCTCCTGATGCCCATCAACACGTTCTCTGGTATCGTCCAATGAGCCCCACAGGCGGCCGAGGAGCAGGGGATCTGAGAAGAAGGATACACTAACGACCCCATCACTAATAGCCAGGGCAAGGCCAGCTCTCTGGACAGCTGCTGCCCCTGCGTGTGGGCTTCAGGGGGCCCGAAGCACAGGGAGCCTGGTCACAGGGTCCTTTGGGGAGAAGGACATAAGGAGTGACCCAGGAGAGCTGCAGCCCCCCCTCACGAGAGAACACACACAAGGCCTGGCATTGTTTATTTTCAGTCCCCTCTTGTCCCACTCACGGTCTCCACCTGCCCAGCCCTTCCCTAAACCCTGGTTACAGCTGCTGTTCCAGCCCTGACTCAGGAGGAACCCGGAAGTAGTTCAAGGAACTGCACCTCCTCCCACTCTCCCAAGTTTGTTCCCCTCCCTCCCTTGGGTCACTGCCCACCCCACCCACTCCCACCCAGGGGTGAGGAGAATGCCAGGTTCAATAAATGCACACTAAAATGACTCATCTAACAGTATTGGTGTTTGAATAGAAGCCAGGCGCGGGGTTCTGAATATACCCTACTGAACATACTGCCGCCCAGTGAGAGTTTTGTGCAGTCTTAAAGGACATGTCCTCTGGCTGCCTGGGGCCGTCTCTCCTCAATCATGTCAGACCAGCGTGGTCCCAAAATGGAGTGGCGGATTCTGGCTGGTTTCCTGGTGGTCAGATGAGAGATGTCAAAATGTTTGGCTTTTGACTCCATCGTATGTCTTGATTCAACATGATGTGTTTGGGTAAGTGCCCGTGGCCCTACTGGCTAGACGAGGTGAGGAGTGGAAGAGACTGTTGAATTGAGAGAGCATTGTTGTAGGGCACCTAACCTAAAGAGAACGTTGTCTTAAAAGAAGCAAAGACAACGCAAGGACACAGATAAAGCACCCGGCTGAGGGAGGCCACCAACATGAGGTGGAATGGTGTCCAAGGGATCATTGAGATACCAAGCTTTGAAAAAGGGCGTGGTGGGCAAAGGAAACTGTCATAAAGACATGATTGGTGTCAGGTCAAGACATCCCAGTTAGAGGTGGGCCTACAGAAGCAGGACCGAGACCGTGATTGGGACTCGTACATCCTTAGAGAGAAGAAGGGCTTACAAGATTGGTCCAGGGCCTTCTGACCAAAGCAGTCAGGGCAAGATTGACAGGGCATGATCTTGACTTTGTGACAGCCTCCCCCCCTACTGTCCCCAGGATGATGACGTCCATCAAGGACACACCTAGACAAGCCCCTAAGACAGAGACTGTCCCTTCCTGGGCTGCCAGAGAGGGGTGGAGGCAATCCACTCCCCAAAGTATTCAGTCTGAGGGTAAGATGATCTGAAAGCATCCAATGGAGACTTAATCTATGTGGGGTCTCTACAAATGGATTTTGGACGGTCACTACCAGCCATAGCCTTCTGCAAGCCAGGGTGCTCATCCAATACAGCATAAAGACGTGGGCTTACTGAAATCCATTCCTATTTCTGGAGGAGTCCCAGAGGACATGGGGTGGCGGTGGGAAAATGCCTTTAAAGTTTGACAGTCCAAGAGTGGAGGGTTGGACACACTTGGTCCTGTGGTGTCAGGAGTGGACACAAAGCCCAGAGTGCATCCTCCAGGGCTGGAAGAACAGCGCAAAGGACGCTTCCAGCGTTGTCCCAGCTGACGGGCCCTGGAACAGCCCGAGAAATGGCTCCTGGCCTCGTGGACTAGGAGAAGCGGGTAGGGGGATTCTCAGGCAAGCAGACCAGCCCCAGGGTCACACGGTTATGGCAAAGGGGTACAGCTGGGGACCACGTGGGCAGCAGGGTGGACCGTGGGACCAAAGGACAAATGGAGAGCATGTGCAACCAATGGACACCGGCCGGAAGGAGGGGCTGCCCTTTGGGGAACACCAGCCCAAGACAAGGCAAGACCTTGGAGCGGGTGTCATAGGACGCCCTCCCCAGAAGCCAGCCCACTGCAGAACCCAGGGAGCGTGGTGGGGCCAGTCCTCAGCGTCAGGGGTCCACAAACTGCGGCTCTCGAACCACATGTGGTTCTTTCAGCAGGCACATGTGGTTCCGAAGTAACATTGAAGAGGAAAGTAAAGCGATCATAGTTTCATTTATAGATGTTTTTGAAAGGCTCTTTTTCCACTAATGGTGATGTCATTGGTTTGTGAAAAGGTATTTATGGCTCTCGAATTATTTTTGAATGGTTGTGAGAGACAGGAGTGGCTCTTTCGTCTCAAAAGTTTGCCGTCTGTCCCCTGCTCTATGTCCCTGAGTTGATTTTCGAACCGCACTGACCCAGAACTCACTGAATTTGAATGTTGACCTGGAAATGCCAAATTTTGCACTCCTCTCAGACATTGGGCACTGTCTTGTGTTAGTCTGGGTTGACTAGAGAAACAGCTTCATAGACACTCATATGGGTGTAAGACAGAACTTTAGATCAAAGTGCAATTTTACATTTAGAAAACATCCCAGCCCAGTCCAGAACAAGTCCATACGTCTAATAGTATCCCATATGTCAATACTAGTCCATAAATTCCTCTTTAGACTCGCACAGCCATGCAATGATGCTGAATGCAGGAAGATCACAGGCCAGTGGGTACAAAGTCTTATGGATCCAGTGGTGGTGGAAGCATCTCAGTGCTGGCATGGGTCTCCACATGGCTCCTCCAGTTCCAGGGCTCTGGCTGCATCAGTGTAGCTCCATGTGGCTTGTCAGCAGGAAGACTAGCAGAGAGTGTGAGTGTATTTGACCTCCAGTGAGCTATTTTCCTCTGTGGTGCTTCCAAATGAGGTCATTAAGCTGCGACCTGATTGACAGGCTAGACTCCACCCCTTCACAAGTTGACAGGAGATGATGTAACTGCCACATGACTCAAATCAGTTTGGGGGATCTAGTAGTGGGTTCTGCATTGAGCTGCTACTCACAAGGTCAGCAGTTCAAACTCACAAGCTGACCCTCAGGAGAAAGAAGAGGCTATCTACTCCTGTAAAGATTTAAAGTCTTGGAAACCCAAAGGGGCAATTCTACTCTACCCTATAGGATTGCCATGAGTCAAAACCACGTCCATGGCTGTGAGGGTTTTGGTTTTGTTTGTTTTTTTAATCTCTATTTTCTTATTCCCTGGTCACACAGTGGGGAAATGCCTCTTAAATATTGGTAACTGTCTCACATGAGTTTGACACCACTGATTTCACCAGTAGAGAAGTATTTCTGATATTGATTATGCCCATTCATGGGAAGGGGAAAAAACCCCACATTTCTGTTCATTTGAAATGAATGATTTTTGAAGCACTTGTTTTAGCACTGGGAGGTGACATTTTGATTAATTCTAGTTAACCAACCTCTGAGGAAGAAAGGCCCGATGATCACAACCCCCTCACCCCCATGGAAACCCTATGGCTCCCAGTGGTGTGGTTACCCTGGGGGACAACTGGACAGAGCCAATAACAACTACAGCTGGTCACACTTAGATGTAGATTGTTGTGAGGTGCTATGTTAGTCCAGGTTAACTAGAGAAATAAATTCATAGACACTCATGTGGATAAGAAGGAGCTTTATCGTAAAGCCTTGAAGGTAAACAAGTGGCCATCTAGCTCGGAAGCAACAAAGCCCACATGGAAGAAGCACACCAGCCTGTGTGATCACAAGGTGTCAATGGGCTCAGGTATCAGGCATCAAAGAACAAAAAAATCATACCATTGTGAATGAGGGAGAGTGTGGGGTGGAGACCCAAAGCCCATTTGTAGGCAAATGGACATCCCCTTACAGAAGGGTCTCCGGGACGTGATGAGCCAGCCAGGGGACAGTGTAGCAACGATGAAACATACAACTTTCCTCTAGTTCTTAAATGCTTCCTCCCCCACCCTCCACTATCGTGACCCCAATCCTACATTACAAATCCAGCTAGACCAGAGGATGTACACTGGTACAGATAGGAGCTGGAACGGGAATCCAGGACAGATGAACCTTTCAGGACAAGTGGTGAGAGTAGCGATACCAAGAGGGTGGAGAGAAGAAAGGGGGAACTGATTACATGGATCTACATATAACCCCCTCCCTGGGGGGTGGACAACAGAAAAGTGGGTGAAGAGAGACGTTGGACAGTGTAATAATTTATAAATTATCAAGGGTTCATGAGGGAGAGAACATGGGGGAGGGAGAAGAAAAAATGAGGAGCTGATGCCAAGGGCTCAAGTAGAAAACAAATGTTTTTAGAATGATGATGGCAACAAATGTACAAATGTGCTTGACACATGAATGTATGGATGGATTGTGATTAAAATTGTACGAGCCCCCAATAAAATGTTTTTTTTTAAAGATCTTTATGTCAAAGAGCAATTATATATTAAGAAAACATCCCAGCCCAGTCCTGATCAAGTTCATAAGTCCGATATTAGCCCTTATGTCCAATACTAGTCCATAAATTCCTCTTTAGACTCACACAGCACATGTAACGATGTCGAATGGAGGAAGATCACAGGCCAGTGGGTAGAAAATCTTGTGGGATCCAGTGGCGGTGGAAGCATCTCAGCACTAGCGTGGGTCTCCATGGGGTTCCACCCAGTTCAGGGCTCTGGCTCCATCAGCTTAGCTCCATGTTGCTTGTCAACAAAAATGTCTCCCATAGAGAGTGTGTGTCCCGCCTCCAGGGAGGAAGACAGGAGTTCCCAGAATTGTCAGGAGAAGGCCATGCCCACACAGAGGCTTCATTGTCTATGAGCTGATTGACAGACTAGACTCCACCCCTTCGCTCAAGGTGACAGGAGAGGATGTCACTGCCACAGGTACCACAGAGTCCATTCCGGCTCACAGCAGCCCTGTGCACCACAGAATGAGCTTGGAACTCAGGGTGCAGATACAACTGCCTAGTACAAAACCATTCCATGACATTCTGAACTGAGCTCCCTGCCTTGAACTGAACTGGCCCAGCAGATCCCTTGGAAGCTGCTCTTTTAATTCGCTATGTTTTTAAATAGTCTAAGATAAGTGCATAACTGAGAGAACCGGTCTGTAACTCTCCGCTAATGACAGGCATGTTTAAACACATTTTATTTGGACTAAACCCATGCACATATGAATTGCAGCCCTACTGGCAATGTTTTGTTTTGTTTTTTAACTTACCTTCTTCTTTTTTTAATGGATCGCTTTTTTGGGGGTTCTTGCGGCTCTTCTAATAACCCATGCATCAGTTGTGTCAAGCACATCTGTACATGTGTTGTCATCGGTTTCAGGGTGTTTTCTTTCTCCTTGAGCTCTTCTTATGTAAATAAAAGCATTGTTCAGGGGGGCGGGGGAAAAAAACAACCATTCCATGCTGGAAGCCGGGAACGAAGGACTGATCCTTCCAGGTGCTGCCCGATGTTTGACTGGAAGACAAGCCTTAGCTGTCAGCCCTCTTGGGAGATTGTCTGGGCAGAAGAAAAGTGTGTCTCTTCCAGGGGCGGCTTGCCAACAAGGAAGCAGCTCTAGACCCCGAGGAGAATAAGGCTCCCTTCCTGATGGAGAGCGACAGTGAACCCGAAGAACAAGTGGAGGGTAACTCCGTTGTCTGAGAAAGACACCTGTGATGGATAACGAAGAAGCAGGCATGGGGAGTCGGGGGAGTTAAAGTGTGTGTGTGTGTGTGTGTGTGTGTGTGTGTGTGCGCGCGCGTGCGCCTTTCTGGAGTGGCCCAGGCACTGTCAGGATGGTCATCGCTCAGGGATCCTTGTGGCCTGCAGGCGACGCACCTGCGCCCTGCACACCTGCGCTCTGCGGGGGGGACGCGGCGCTGCAGGTGCGCGGGCC